GGTTGGTTGGTTGGTTGGTTGGTTGGTTGGTTGGTTGGTTGGTTGGTTGGTTGGTTGGTTGGTTGGTAGGTTGGTAGATTGATCTGTTGGTTGGTTGCTCTCTGGGTTGATTAATCTTATTGTTGGTTGGTCTCTGGGTTGATTGATCTGTTGGTTGGTTGGTCTCTGGGTTGATTGATCTATTGGTTGATTAGTCTCTGGGTTGATTATTCTATTGGTTGGTTGGTCTCTCGGTTGATTGATCTGTTGGTTGCTTGGTCTCTGGGTTGATTGATCTGTTGGTTGATTGATCTATTGGTTGGTTGGTTGGTTGGTTGGTTGGTTGGTTGGTTGGTTGGTTGGTTGGTCTCTGGGTTGATTAATCTTATTGTTGGTTGGTCTCTGGGTTGATTGATCTGTTGGTTGGTCTCTTGGTTGATTGATCTATTGGTTGGTTAGTCTCTGGGTTGATTAATCTTTTTGTTGGTTGGTCTCTGGGTTGATTAATCTATTGGTTGGTTGGTTGGTTGGTTGGTTGGTTGGTCTCTGGGTTGGTTAATCTTTTTGTTGGTTGGTCTCTGGGTTGATTAATCTATTGGTTGGTTGGTTGGTTGGTTGGTTGGTTGGTTGGTTGGTTGGTTGGTTGGTTGGTTGGTTGGTCTCTGGGTTGATTGATCTATTGGTTGGTTGGTCTTTGGGTTGATTGATCTGTTGGTTGGTTGGTCTCTTGATAGATTGATCTATTGGTTGGTTGGTCTCTTGATAGATTGATCTATTGGTTGTTTGGTCTCTGGGTTGATTGATCTTTAGATTGGTTGGCCTCTTGATAGATTGATCTATTGGTTGATTGGTTTCTTGGCAGATTTATCTATTGGTTGGTTGGTTGGTCTCTGTCTTGATTGATCTGTTGGTTGGTTGGTCTCTAGGCTGATTGATCTGTTGGTTGGTTGGTTACTTGATAGACTGATCTATTGGTTGGTTGGTCTCTTGATAGACTGATCTATTGGTGTGTTGGTTTCTTGGTTGATTTATCTGTTGGTTGGTCTCTTGGCAGGTTGATGTATTGGTTGGTTGGTCTCTGGGTTGATTGATCTGTTAGTTGGTTGGACTCTGGGTTGATTGATTTGTTGGTTGATTGGTCTCTGGGTTGATTGATTTGTTGGTTGGTTGGTCTCTGGGTTGATTGATCTGTTAGTTTGTCATTCAGTTACTTGGTTGGTTTACTGGTTTGTTGGATTATCAGTTGGTTAAATAATCCCCAAAATTTATGATGTTAAGAAGAAACGGTACTCATTTTTAATGTAAAAATCAGTTATAAAATCCCAAAATTCCTCAACAATAAACCTTAAATATCCCTTGATATTTGTGGGATTTTAAAAGTACTATGAGCATAAACACAAATAAAACACACTGTAAAATGTTTTGTAGATATAAGAATCATGTTCAGAGATGCAGATCATTTAGTATTTTTCAGCTAGCAATGATGGCCATACAAAAGTACAAAGAATCTTTTTAGAAATTTCATTAGTTGTTTGGGGGAATTTTTGTGTTATTTTTAATGCATTTGCACAATAGTTGGTTGCAGGAAAACACACTGGCACTCTGTCATGCAATAAAAAATTATAAAATGTTTTTTTTTTTGTGGTTATGAAACTGTTTACCTGGGTAAACTTGCTGCACTGGCTCTTTCCTTGACATTCTTCCTGACCTTTTTAAGTTCATGCATAAAAAAGCAAGGTCATGCTTATGACTTGACCTATTCTTATTGTATATATAGCCCATACTGTTCACAGCATCCCATAAACTGCAATTTCCACAATGGACTGCTGATAACGCTCTAATTATGCTATAAACCTGCCAACCATTGATATACATCCTAACACAGCTTCCTCTCTTGCTTATTGTGCTCTATTCATGGTAAGTTATTAAAGCCATGAGTGGCAGTGATATAATAACTGATGAGATTATATCAGCCAGCACCCACAGGGCACCCAACACTCCACCTCATCCTACCATCACTCCCTCCTGCTACCTGCTTCCCCCATACAGTGTGTGCCATTGTTCATTATTGATGAGATTAACCTTGAGGAAATCCCCCGCAGCTCTGAAATGGAGACTGTCAGTCTGACTAGTGCAGCCAAAGTAAACACTGCTAATCAACCAGTTGGTCACATTAATGCCTACCTGACACCTTGCATAATGAGGAACCAGGCTGCTTGAGTAGAAGTAGAATGGGATTACCACTGGGAAAACAGGAGATAATGTTCAGAGCAGTTTAAGCTTCCTCATTTCATCCTGTATTAGCCTCTGAGGTTGAGTTAGAGACGCTGTCCTTATTTCAGCAGGAACCCCCTATTGGGTGAGGCAGCGCTTTCAGAGAATTCAACAGCACAGCATGGCCTGGCAGGCTTTTCTTTATTGCTCGGGTGTGAGAACAAGTCCTGCATGGTGGGTTCAATGGGCTTTTTACAGGAGGGGGAAATGTTCAACAAAGTTTTGGCTCAAAAGGTAAAGAACACAACAAAGATGCAAACAGTTAGCATGTTGACCTGTGAACTTGGCTCTGTTGTAGGTTGTTAAACAAATCATGTTTAATATAAGAACTGTATTTTTCAAATACACTCTAAAACTGATGTGTTGGATTTACTTAAACAAATTTTGTCAACTGGTTGCACTCAACTTAACTGAGTAAATGTAACACATAATTCACATACTTTACTTGTAAAATAAATGTGAATCAGACATCCAGGAGCATCTTGTGTTGTGTGCAGATTTCATATAGTTTTCTTTCTTTTGTTTTTTTTACAAAGAATCGGACTTGAAAATTCAGTTCAATTCAAATTCAAAAGTACTTTATTGATCCCAAATGATCAATAGTAACTCATTTAACTAAAAAGTTATTGTAGATAGTGATCTGCTCTAATGTTCTGCCACCCTGAGTTGCGCAATTCTAGAA